TCGTAAGCAACATCCCTACACGTTTCCGGGAGGGTCTGGAAATGTTTTCCAATCGTAAGTGTTTCACTGTTAAATTTCCTTGGCTTTTGCTTAATCCTGTGTTCGATTCTAGGAATACGAGACGAGCAGCCGAGGTATGGATGGATGAATACAAAGCAATCTATCTGAAAAATGTGCCTTCTGCGAGATATGTGAAATTTGGAGAGTGAGTTTGTTTTCTTGTCTTCTATGATGCGTTGTTGTATAACCGTTCCGTGTGCTATACATCCTGGGATTCGATTTTCAATACCTGGGGTTTGTTTGATCTGCTTTCGGATTCAGCGTTCTCAAGAGCTGAGATTTTTAGATATTCAACAGGAAATCCTTCAGGCCGCGTTCATACTTTGCGACCGAGGAGATCCTGCGATTTGGGCGATTTGGCGTTTCCAGCGATTGCGAGCCATAGCAGATGGGTATCGATTGACACCGGTCGCTAGCGATTGCGTAGATTCGGTGATCTGGTGATTTAGTAGATCGAGCGATCCGGCGATTGAGATTTAGAGATCCGGCGATTTGAAAGACACGGCGATCTCTCAAAACGCCGGATCGCCGAATCGCTAGCGACCGGCGCCGATCGATACCCACCCACCACATTGGCGCAGTCGCCGGAAAACACGGGTCTATGCATCGCCAGTTCGTTCAGTCTCCACAGTAGCCAAGAGATTGATGCCAATACTTTCCTCGTCGCACAATCTCCCAGATGACCGAGTCTTCTCGATCGCAAAGTGTGAACACCGCCTTAAGCAGTGAATGGCTATTCGTTTTGTTGTTCGAATACGATTGTTCTGTTTCACTTGGCACAACTGAGGCGCTCAAGATATCCATCGGAATCCTTGGTTGCCTTTCATTTTACACTGCAAAAAAGTCTGAAGATGGAAGTTGTTGAAAGTGAATGCAAGCACACGCTTTATATCTACTTAAGTTTCAGCTATTTTGACGGACTGATTTGAGATGAGTTGAAAATTTCGGAAAACATTCATTTTCAGTGTGTCCGAACGTCTAGCATTACGGGAACGTTTGAAGTGCCACTCCTTTTCATGGTATCTTGAAACCATCTACCCTGAATTAAAGTGAGTCTTTTCGAGGAACGGTCAGTAATACTACCAAAGGATGTTTTGGTGTTGTTCCTACCTTAATTAACGCACTCTATCTTTGAATCTCACACACATTTTACTCCCTTGCTTTTCGTTTTATCGCCCGTATAGCTCTATCTATCTCTGAAGTGAAGTACACTTAGCTTCTTTGTAACTCCTCAGTTTTCGCTTGTGGTGACTCCACCTCCTGTCCTCACTATACGTTAGGTTTTAATGAAATCTGGTGCTGAAAATCTTTATCCAGTTGATTAGGTTGGAACAAAGTAAAGTCCATCTGAAAGCTGAACAACTGCCTTCTTTCTAATTCGACAATATACCGTATTTTGTGGGTCACAAGGCGTAGTTCTTCCTAAAATCCTCAAAAACTGCCAGTTTTTTTTGCGCATTCTTGCGATGTCTTTACTTACTGTGACCCATACTGAATAAGCGCTATATAAGTCTCTGGTTCAAACCAGCAGTCAGAAGCTAAGAATATCAAATGAAAGACGGAAAAGCTGTCGCTGTACTTTATCATGCGTATCTGTGCCCTATCCACTACCTCACACGTCGAAAAATACGATAATTCACATTCACCATTTCAGAATTCCTGAACGTGATAAAGGAGAATTATATCACTTGAAGAATGGAATTATGTGCCTGGATACACTAGGACGTAGGGCTGGCGAAGCTCCAGGTTTATACCAGTGTCACGGAACTGGTGGTAATCAGGTAGAGTGGCATTGTTTTTTTTTCATAAGATTCTTTGAAACGTTCAATCAAGGTTTTTATGAAAACTGTGAGTTGTGAGTTGTTTTATTCGTTGTTTATACTGTAGTCCTTACATGTGTGCAATTGCACTTCTCATTTGGTTACGTGTCCACTTTACGCCTAATCTGCAGCGTTGTTGTGCAAAGCTGGAAAAGTTCGTGAAATTTTTGAAAAGTACGTCGAAGCTATATCACTCAATGTTTTATAAGGTTTACTGTTACTACATTGCTTCCATTCGTTTTCTTTATATATCTGGCACTTCGAGTTTTTTCAAAGAATTGTAAACTTTCTCAATAGTGTTCCTCGTTCTCTACCTCATTTCACTCTTTTTATCATTCAATACTTTTGCAGGAGTGGGCCTACGACAGAGATGAAGGCCATTTACGTAGCACCACGTCGAGGC